TTATAAAAATCCACAACATTTGTTCATATAAAAGTAGTCTCTAAACATCGAAAATAAGGTCTATAATGGAGTAAGTAAAGAGCGGTTACCCGTGACCTCTTGGGAAGGTTTCTATCCTAAGTGGAGTTAAGTAATTTATGGAAGTATATTTTACCATCATCACTAAGGATTGTTTAACTAAAACTGATGGATTTGTAACTAAACTGGCTATCTTTCCTTACCTTTCCTTAGACTCCCTAAAGTTGGGCTGATGCCGATACGGAGCCGCGGAAGACTTAACGGGTTACCGGGGCTCCGGATCGAAGTGCAGGATTAGGAACGGGGTGGTTTTTAGTCAGTATGAGACTGACACTCCCTCACGTCTTACTCGGACGAGAGAAGTCATTGGATGATTTTCCCCCTCAAATAAAGTCCCTAAAGTTACAGTTGAATAAAAAAATAACATTTGCCCAATCTCAAAGCAAAAAAAATACCTAATGTAATGTCATTGTGCGACACGTGAATACAATAATTCATGTGTAAACCAACTTTTCAAAATACCTACTTCAACCCCCTCTGTTTTGAAGTCAATTAAATAATATACTAAAACCTTCTCCAAATTATAACAAACACTTTTCTGGAAACCGTATCAAAATCTCGAGATAATTGCGCATAAACATATATACATAAGTCAAACTAAAACCTCCTTTATTAAAGTCGGGTAAAGAATATGGAGGCAACCTCGAAAAACCAATCAATGAATACCATCCACATTCGTACATCATATTACATCACAACCTCATTAAAACCAGATCAAAATCACATGAACACCAATTCATTATCCCTAAGGTACCGTAACATCGAAGTCGGTCAAAGTGTAACTATGCCATACCACCCGGGGTTCGCGATGTACGATCCCGCAAGACTAATCGTAAATCCTGATGTTCCTGGTACACACGGCTTCACATCAAGTTATACAAAACCAATATAAACTGATCTTCGTTTATGCGGAATGGTCATACAAAGCGGGATCATGATACACTGGTTATGTATATCTCCATGTGTAGCCATAACAGTAACTGACCAAAATGTAGTCAGGTATGGTGAGCACTGACTTATGAGGAGTATCGATTCTCTTATCGAGTTGTAATCGATTGTAGTGATGATTGGGGCGATCGTTTTGAATGATTTATTTAATTAGGTCAAATTTTGTAACGGAATTCACTGAATGTGTGGTTGGAACTCTTGGAAAGTTTGCGGTTGTATAGGAAATAGTTTTTAACGTCTATATAGAATTACTATAGCAGCAAGTTCAAATAGTGAGATTTAAAGCCCGAAATTCAGACATCAATCATTAATTTTAGTAGTACATATTAAGTAGACTTCATGACTTCAGCAGAAAAAATACAATGTTTTAGTAAACCTACTTCTCTAACCATTCAATACTTGGAAACAAACCGAAGCAACAAAAAAAAATCAAACTAACCGTAGCCCAAATATTCACATATCGCAAAAACAATTCTTGTAATGTATCTTCATACATCAATTAATGTAAAGAGTTACTTCCTATAAGCAGAAACCATGCTCCAATGATACAATATTAAGATAACGGCACCAAGTATTTATCGCCGGCTTAATTTCGCTTACAAAATAATAAATAAAACACCCTTTAACTTCGTGACTCTAAGGTCCCGTCTCAGTGTCAGGTACATTGATTAATTTGACAGGACTGTACTTCTGAAGTAATATTTATGTCATGTTACGGGAAAATAACGATGTAATGTCATTGAAGCTGTCAAAATGTTGACCGCTGTTGACGTTAGTAATTTAAGTAAATATGCTATATGGCTTTCTTAAAGTCATTGCTAAATGTGAGCATTTATTTATCATAAAAATATAGTTAGAAACCAGTTTTCATAACATTTTATAATATTTTAGAAAATTAAAGATTACGCTACATTTTATAACCTCAAAAACTTTTCATTTAACGTGTATCAGTAAAAAGGGAAGTGACAAATAACTTAAATGAATCTGTACGACACAATGCGCTTGATAACAGATTATCTAGTGAATGAACTGGGTTGAATGAAAATCCGATTTTGGTACCTTGGTATAAGTAAAATACGGTAGTTGATAGGTAGTCAAATTCAATACTTTTATTGGAATGTCAAAAACTATACTTTTCTATGAATTTTGTATTGCATCGCAACTTATGACGTCATCATATTTCTGCTTAAAATAGCATACATAAAAGTAGGTAAATTGTCAAATCAATGGATGAGTGTATGATTATTTTTTAATTATTTATTGCATTGAATAGTTGAAACAATTTATACCTAGGGAACTAGCCAATTAACAGCTCTCCAGCAATCAATCAAACACCACTATTAAAACACTATTAAACAAATAAAACATCGATTACAAATTGACAAAAAAAACCGCACGGCTATTGCAGTGATACTGCAACAAATTCACTAAATCAACAACGCTTTTAACCACTATTACGACACTATCTAGTCAAATAAAAAAAAAACAAAAATAACCAGCAAGTCAGTTTTATAGACCACCACAGACTATCAATCGACGCGTCGCACGTAAGTAAGTAGGTGTCGAATACACATATCGCGTTATTTATTACATTATAAACGATATCGGGAATCGCGCGCGTTTTGGACGCGCCCCGGGTATTTGATGACGTATCTCATATTTATGGTGCGTGTGAGCATTGTCCCTGAGTGTAGGTCGTGATGCATGACTGTAAGCCCCGATGGATGGTACTAAAGCTTGCTACAGACTTTCAGTTTTAATTGTAGCGTGGAAATATTCAATTAAAAACGTAGGTGTGTAAAAACCATGTCTATTGATATATTAATAACCTTTATTAAGTCTTGAAATGTTCTAAAGTTGAATTTAAAACTAAACTAGTGGACTGTACAGTTTAAGCTGAAGGTCTTTTTTTATTTTTTTTAAGGGGGGAAATCATCGAATGACTGCTCCCGCGGCCCGCCTGGGTGAGGCGGGAGGGAGTGTCAGACTCTTACTGACTAAAAACCACCCCGTTCCTTCTCCTGCACATCGAGCCGGAGCCCCGGTCACCCGTTAGGTTCTCCGCGACAAGCTGAAGGTCTGGAAACCGCTTAAGGGGCTGTACATACGAGGGACTTTTGATTGCTGAAGACGAAAATTCAAAACTCCGAAAAATAATTATCGATAACTTAATTGCTTTTTGAGGTATTCCTACCTCTAGTTCATGTCTTGTCCAATAATATGACTCAAAAAAGGCAATCTAGATTCAGAGATAGACCAAAATCTTGCAGAATGATGGTAACATAAATTGTAAGCGCAGATTAAATAATTTTTAATAGAGCTTTCCTATAACTCCCACGGGACAACTCCTTTGAATATTTTGTGTCCCTGTCTGTAGGGATCTACAGATGTAAATAGTGCTTCGTTTGCAAGTACCTTTAGGTTCACATGGCACCCCAGAGTGGGTGTAGACGTGGACTTATAGGAGGGGTTGGGAATGCGCCCTTTAGCCCAGGAATGTGTTGGACCACATTTGTTGGTGTCCACTTGGTATGCGGAAGTGTGTATGAGAATGTTCTCGTTCTGTTCCTATATTGTGCTGTTGTAAATTGATCTTGATATTGGAATATCATATTTAAACGTATTGTTTAGTTTATATTGGAAGTTTGACTGAATTCTTAGTAGTATAAAATTCTTGCTTATTGAATATCACATTAATATGTCCAAAACTAAAGATTCACCTTAATTTTCTACCAGACCGCCTCGTTGGTCGAGTGGTCGCAAGTGCGACTGCCGGGCAGGGAGGGGGTCTCGGGTTCGATTCCCGGGTCGGGCAAAGTAAAAACCCCGTAGGTTTTTAAAAGAAATCTCAGTAGTAGCACAGAGTCTGGAATTGTGGAATTTTGGTAATAGGCTCACCCCGTATTACATGGGACTCATAACATAAGTAGCGAAAAGTGGCTGTTATATTGTGCAGTAAGCCGTAATGTGCACCTCAGCCTATTCCTTGGGGGATAAAAGGCGTGATACTATAGTCGGAAGTCTGGTAGAAACTTCAGTATTCTGACGTCTATTTGTGCTAAGACATAAAAAAAGAATAACTACCCACTTTTAACATTAATCTTATGTCTACATCAGCATAAAAAACCTCTTTAACCAGCAGTATTAATAAAATCACCATAATAAACAAATCCAGAACAGTTAAATCAACATCTATATCAATCGAGATGGCACACACAAATAAGCTAACGCCACGCTGCAATGGATGCGGTGTTAACACGGGACATCAAAGTGCGCAGGCGCGGCATTTCAATACGCTCGCATACAATACTGCCGTATCCAGTTGTCACTTGCTCTCATTGAATTATACATCTTTGACGGACAATGGTTTTTATTTTTATTCGAGTTATTGGGTGCTTGTTTGAATGATATCGGCCAGTGCCAGTTGCTATTTATTATCGGCGCCATTTTGAAAAATGGTGAGCTCTGTTTATGAGTCTGTGCACATAGTAAAAAAAGAAAACTGTTTGTAAATTCGAAATTATTCTTCAGGAAAATTATTCGAAACTGTAATGTTTGTTGGGAACAAGTCTGCCTGTACCAAGTTTGGATTTATGCTATTTACGGTAAAGAGATAAATAACTTAAATTATTACGTACAATAGATAAAACTCATGAGGAAACCAGGAGAAAACAGGAGGGAATTAGACGAATGCTACATAATTAGTCTACTACGTATATTGATAACTAGCTAATACTTAAATAGACTTTTTCAATAAATCTGTAGATGCATCTCACTTTTAATGCAGCATTAAGAAAAACAAATCATAAAACATATTTATCACAGCAAATAAGTAAAAACAATATATAAACAACACGCGTCTAATATGGAAAACATCATTACCATTGAATTTCACTCGCTCGATCAACAAAAATGTTAAGCCGAGTAAGGTAAAGTGAAAAAAGTAAAAAAAATAAAAATTTATTCCACATTACCTACTTTAAATACTTTTTATCTGTTAGTTCGGATATAAATTGAAGCCCGTGCCACCCAGCGAACAGACGACAAAACTAAATGTACTGTCGTCGAGAGATTCTTATACACTAGAAATATTAACCATCGCTACGAAAATGCTCTTCCAGAAAAGATATAAATAGATGAATAAATTCGTAACATTGTTAGCTTACGTTGAGGTTAATGTGACGTCATTGGTTTCAGATTATCGAAAAAATAATTATGTAGACACTAAAGCCTGCTACCAAATTTTTTTCTTTCATATTATCCACTTTAAGAAAATAGTTTTTAACAATTATTTAATCTACCTCAGCAAATTCTTCAATCCAAAAATTTACAATTTACCTCTATAAGGCTTTAACCGACTTCAAAAAATAGATGGAGGAAGAGGAAGGAGATTTTTCGCAATACGACTATACCTCTATGTATGCTTTAAAACAACGATCTTTTTTTTTTAAGGGGGGAAAATCATCGAATGACTGCTCCCGCCTGGGTGAGGCGGAAGGGAGTGTCAGACTCTTACTGACTAAAAACCACCCCGTTCCTTCTCCTGCACGTCGAGCCGGAGCCCCGGTTACCCGTTAGGTTCTCCGCGACATAACAACGATCTACCAAGTTTCTAATGACCTAAAACTCAATTTAAGAAACTCAGAATTCCTTTTCCTTCTCTCTACGTCACAGCCCAACCACAGCGTAAGCCAACTATATCTCCCTTAAGTCAGCTGCGCGTTCAGGTCGTATTCATAGTCCGTTCTATTATATTGTCAATTGGGGACCTCCGCAGACCGTATACAATTACAAGATGTGTTCATCCCACTGCAATCTGTCAGTCTCTATAAATACAGAGAATTTATTCACGTACTCTTAATTTATAGCTATTTAGGACACAATGTAAGGTTGTGATCCTACTGTTGCAGGTAGTTGGAGCAAGTGCAGCCATTCAAGTCGTGTATTGTTGGTGAAATATATTGGTTACAGTTTTTGTTGAACGTTTCTTATGTAAAAATGGCTTACTCGATTCCGTTTTGTTTATTTGTTGACAAGGCTTGAATTGAACTTACTTTTTTAGTACTAAGTTTTATGTAACAAGAAAAAATGTTAGACTGCCTCGTTGGCAGAGTGGTCGCAAGTGCGACTGCCAGGCAAGGGGTCTCGGGTTTGATTCCCGGGTCGGGCAAAGTATTACTAGGTTTTTAAAAAAGTCCTCAGTGGTAGCACGGAGTCTGGAATTGTACCCGGTATATGGCAATAGGCTCACCCCCTATTACTTGAGACTCGTAACATAAATAGTGAAAAGTGGGTGTTACTTTGTACAGTGCCATAATGTGCACCTCTGCCTACGGCGGCGATAAAAGGCGTGATGTAATGTAGGTATGTATATATGTAAAAAATGTTAGACTTAAAAAACGTGGAATCAAATTCAAAGTCATAAGCATTAAACTATTATTTGGTACTATTGAAACGTCAGCAAATATAAAATAAATAATAGTCTGTCAGTCTGTCCATCAGTGAGCCTAGGTGATTGAATGGTGAATCTCAACGCTTGTTTGAAGAAATTAGGTCATGAAATTGAATAGGGAATTTGCTTAGGGAAATTAACTTTACAGAGGCATCTTCAAGAATAAATCTTTGGTTGATGCACAAGCTATTTTCCGTGTCTGTGTGTACATACTGTAATGTTTCTAAGGGCATCCACACATAACAGTAACAGGTAGGCAGAGGTGTACATTACGGCACTTAATGCCACTGTATATTGTAACACCCACTTTTCATGTTATGAGTCCCATGTAATAGAGGGTGACCTATATAACTGCGATATTACATAGGCTCACGCCTATTGCCATACAACGGGCATGATTCCTGACTTTATGCCACTACTAAGATTTTTTTTAATCCAGCAACCTTTGCCCGACCGAATCGAACCCTAGACAAGCAGTCGGATAACGAGGCAATCAAATAACGGTACCCACAATACAGTAAAACATCCCAAACTAGAACGTCATAAAAATACGTCCTAACTAAATATATTTGTCTAGGATCACTATCCTAAAGAAATACCTCATTACAACTATCACACATACTTCACTCCAAGCCGCGTTAGTAATACTATCTCAAAAGTGATTAAGTACACTCGCCTGTCCACTGGCACAGTTTACTGGCATGCCAGTTTGTAATGACGTCAGATGTAAATATATTAAATTGATTTGTGTGGACCGGCTTCGTAAAGGCGAAACAATAGGTGTTGGTTTCCTGTATCGTATGTTACTTAGTGTCAAGTCGGATTAATAGTGTATTTTATTAACGTAAGAGTCCTTCGCCTTTGATCTTAAGGGTAGAGGGAGCTTGTGTAGATTATGAGAACATAAACCATAAATATAAATGTAGATACATACCTTATTATTTTGTGATTGTTGAAGGATTGTTTAAAGTAATTTGTGGTGGAAAAGTTGACAACTGAATTATAAGGGCTTTTCATAATTTTATTATCTACTAGCAAAAAGATGTCTTAAAAGAAATAGTAACTACACAACAACCTTTTTTTTTCAGACACTATATCTAGATCTATGCTATTTAGACTCGTGTAGTGTAATAATGACTTATTTCGTTGCTAAAAGAATTTAAACACCTACATCGTGCCAGTCGTGCTTACACTAGTAATCTAATTATTTATCTTCTTATCGCACTTCAATCAAGAATCAAGAGGTCACAAAAATCATTAAGTTTGCAAACTGATATAAACTATAATTAAAAATCCATTGTCAATAAAACAAAAACATGTAACCTCATAACTCTACGTTACCCAACTCAACACATACTTATTTAAGGGGTGTTATCCATGTCGCAAGATGGCGCACGCGCCGATCTATAATGAAATCATAAGTCACGATCTCTCTCTAACTGCGCTTACCTGTAACAAATGAAAATAAACTTTAGTTTTAGGGATTAGAGTGTAGTTTAGTTTGTGGTGGATTGGTGCCCTATATAGAGGTGCTTGAATAGTTTATTGCAAATTACAAAACTTTGAATAGCTGCTGTTTAAGTTCATTATATCTTTTCGTGGATTGAGATTTTTGTGTACATCTAGTTTAAATAGCAAAAGTGTTTACGAGCCATTTATCATCAGCATAATGAACGATTCACTGTTGGACTGTTCACTCTAGGCATCATCATCACCAGCCTATAAATGCCCACTGCTGAGCAAAGCCACTTCTCACACGGAGAAGGTTAGATCATTAATCACCACGCTTGCTCAATGCGGGTTGTCGATTTCAAACTTATAATTAGAAATTATAAGTCCAGGTTTCCTCACGATGTTTTTTCCTTCACCGTTCGTCAGTGGTGTCTAAATAATCTTATAAAGTACATATAACTCGGAAAAAGTCACATTGGTACTTGCCGTTGGTAGGTATCGAACCCGCACCCTTATGCATGAGAAGTGGGCATCTTAAACCTCCGGGCCACCACGACATTACTCTAGGCGCTAGAAGCTAATTACCAAAATATACTACATAGCTACTTCAGCGCGATTGCACCTGCCCTGCTCGGCTCCTATTAATCGCAGCGTGATGTTTTGTAACCTATAACCTTGCTCAACAAATGGACTATCCAACACAAAAAGAATTATTGAAATCGGACTGGTAGTTCCGTAGATTAGCGCGTTCAAACAAACAAACAATCAAACAGACAAACTCTTCAGCTGTATGTAGTAGAAATAAGGTTACATAGCTATTACACGGGACTCATGACATAGATAGTGAAAGGTGGGTGTTACATTGTACAGTGGCATGATGTGCACCTCTGCCTAGCCCTTCGGGGATAAAAGGCGTGTTGTTATGTTATTATGAAGGTTACATAGTTTCTTAGAAAGTCCCCCTCAACTAAAATCTTAATAGCCTTCAGAACTTCAGCTCTCAAAAAGGAATTAGTCAGTAATGCGTTGTGAGATCCGTATCACATCCAAACAATAGGGTCAGAGTTCAAATTCCAAAGAGGTGACATTCACACAGGGTTCTATAAATACCACTCATTTATAAACTGTATGTCATTTAGTTAACATGTATCAAAATACACGTTCTATGCAGATATTATGAGATAATACTTATTATTATGACAAATATTAATATTAAAAAAATAATAAAAAATATGTAAAGATAAGACCTGAGTAGGTTCTTCGACAAATGTGACCGGCTCACTGCCATTTCAGCTTGCCTTTGGGCTACGTTGGTAAAAAAATTAAAAAACATAACATCACGCCTTTTATCCCCGAAAGGGTAGGCAGAGGTGCACATTATGCCACTGTATGTAAATAAATTAAATCTTTAAAAATATATTCATTACTAGAACAATATAACAAGTTATCTAAGTTAACACTTCAAATGCATTGTAGACAAGTTGTAAAACTTTCAACAAAAACATTATACTAACAACCTTTTCATAAAACACGCTCTATTCTATCGTAAATCAGAAAGCTGTTCCCATCACTCTGAAATTCTACTCTGACACTAAAATTAATATAACTAGACACATACATATTTTTAACCCTACACCTTATGGTGTACAGATAACGTCACCTCATATCAAATTCAACACTTACCCTATTTTCAATAATATATCTAGGACTATTGTCTTTCGGACCGAACGCCATATCTGTCACTAAGAAAAGGTTGCATCGAAATTATAGGGTTAAACTCCCAACGAGGCATTTAAAACTTTAGTTAGAAGACTTAAAGTGTAATTTTCATTGTAGTATTTTGATTTAAGATAGGTTTATGGAAAAATTGTGTTTATTTTGCGCATTACTTTTGAAGTTTATCACTTTTATTGCCTATAAAGCGTGTTAATGGTGTATTTGATATATAAATAACATTACAATTTTCAAAGAGAAGTTCTGAAATTACTTTTGTAAGTGATAACGTGCGAAATAAGACCATGCCCTCATATTTATTGAGATCATTTTGTTTTACACTTATTTATTGTTGGTTAAACATTTTATTTCATGGTATCCTTTTTTTTATAAAATAAGGGTAACTACTTATGTT